AAGGTTTTAGGTCAAATAGTCCAGATTTGAAGAAGAGACTTAATTTTCTTTTGCTTGAAACCCTGTATAAAGTCATTATTGTACAGTAAAAGGTTCCCCATTGTTTGCTTTGTAGACTATTCACTTAGAATATTTAAATTGCTGATAAGATTCGTATCAACTTCCGAATCTCCTCCAGGACACTTCAAGACAAACTCCTACTAGAATGTGAAACAAAGGTTTGTTTAGAGCTCTCTTCAACCCAGCTGTCAAGCTGCAGGCACTGTGGAAATAGCTGGAATATTTACATCAATCCATGTCATTGTCAGGGGTAATTCTCACTTTCGAGGAACAGCTCCCTTTTCTTTTGTGTGCATATGTGTGTATGTTTCTGCTCACACATATAGAGCAGGAGATAATTAATTGATCATATTCTGCAATGTAAAGTATATCACTGTGATTAAAAGAGCTACTCTGATTAACGATTTTATAAACTCTTGTGTAATGTCCATAGTGAAAAGAGAAATGCAGCTGTTATTTCAGCAAGACACATCCATGACATTTTCTTCTGATAGATTGGCAGAGTTCAGAAGCTGAACGGAGATGAGTATATGTAACATATTTGTTTGTTCATTGGGGTAAAAACCCTGTTTTCCCACAATCTTTCTAAGAAGGATCCAATAGTAACAGTACCTAGCAATAATAATAATAAAAATAGTAAGAAGTTAGAGTTGCACTTCTGCTGGAAATGTTCATACTTTGTTGTTCCTGGAAGATGGTAATAGAGCAGCATTCAGCTTCTGCTGTTGCAAAAAAAGAGGCAAGGGTGAAGACTTAGAAGATGCTCCAAGGTGTTTTTTCCTGTCTCATTAACATGTTTTGAAAATGCCAGTCAATTTGGTGCAGTTTGGTTTGTGTCAGAGGAGACAGATTTGCTCTGGAGAAGTATTATTATCAGAGGTATGAGTTACAAGACAGATTTATTTTAACTACATCTTGAGTGGTACAGATGTCACCAAAGATGGGATTATCCCAGCCTTTCCTTCAGCTGTGAAGATCTTACATAGTTACAACATTGCTTTCTCCACCTCACTAATTAAAATAAGGATTTTTAGCTGAGCTGAGCGTTTTGAGGTTTGCTGCCATACACTACATTGCACACTTTTGCACTACATCTTTGTCTTGTTGGGTTTTTTTCTTTTGCTCAGTTGCTGGAGACAGGAGCTGACATAAATGAGATTTACTCTGAGTCAAAGGCTTTTGGATTTTTGTGTGTGTGTTTGTTTGAATGATTTGTGTGATAGAAAGTTTTTTGTGCAAAATAGGATTTTTGTGGATCTGGTGGAAAAGGCTGTTGAGATGCTGCTATGCCAGGTAAATTTATTGAATTATCTACTTGGAAAGACAATCTGATAAAAAGGAGGAAGTTGGGACTTCAGGGCCTATTTCTGCTGTGAATACATCTTCATTAAATGTATGGTTGTCCATTGTCTCTGGCTCAGAATGAAACCCTGGTCTAATTAACAAGATGAATCATTTCAGGAGTTTCCTGGTGTCATGGTGAGGGACAGGATGACATAGAGTCACATCTTTAGAGCTAATGCCAAATACCATGGTCTATTCCAGCCTGGAACTGATGACTGCCTCCCACTCCCTGTCTAAGCAGTGAATGCCTTGCTGTCACTTTGGGAAATGTGTCTGATGGTGCTGATGGTTCTTCTCACTGGGAAAAACAAATCAGGCTGTTCTGGTCAGCAGCAATAGCTTCTTCTGAAGTAGGATTTTGCTGGCAAAAGTGATTCTTCTGCTGTAGACTGAGCAAACTTGTGACCACTTGATCCTGGAGAATCAACTGAAATTTGCCAAGCATGAGCCAGTCTTCTGCAGAAGAAAATTATTTTTTCTCAATTTGCTGTAGAGAAAACAGGCCAGGAGAAATACTGAATATGGCTGAGACAACACCTAGTTAAATTTAGGGGAAAGCACCACTCACTTCCACACCTTCCCCCTCCAAATTAGTGGGTGAGAGACTTAGAGATGAAGAAACTTTTTGTCATGGCCGAGCCTACGGTGGATCTGTGAGCTCCTCAGAAATCCCCTGAAAACAAATCTAAGACAGGAAGGACTATTCTAAAAATAATTTGTAGTTTTATTTACACAATTTTTACAACAGGTATTCACTGAGGTGCTGAAATTCTCTTTGGAATGACTGAAATTTGACTGCAACCCTCAATCTGAGTGTCCCTGCCTGCCCTACATACACAAAATGCATGTGCCAACATCTCTGCACCATCACCTTGTCTTATTTTATGTCATAAATCAGTGAATCTTATTGACTCAATTATTATGAGCTCAATCCTACAGTCAAACACCTGCTGAATTCCGTGGGAATTTCACTGTGGAAGGATTATGTAAAAAAGCTTTGTTACTGGCCTAGACCTGATCTGAACTCATGTACATTACTCTTACCAGTGAAGGCTTAACACCATGGAGTTACAGAGAGATGTGATGGATCTTCCTTCCCCTCCCCAAGGAGAAGTGTTGTGTCTTGCAGTGTGTTTGTGACTCCAAGTTCCTTTAATCTCAAAACTGCATAACTCTGGCAAGATGTATGTTGTGATTGCAGCCTGGTGTGAGGACAGAGGGAAGTGTGAGGGGAGGCAGTCTGGGACAAGCCAAAGAAAGCCAATCATAATGGATTGACTCTATTATAGAAAACAAAATTTTTCTTTATTAACTTGTGCTGATTTTTTGGGGGGGCATTTCTGATTTCTTATGTGTAGAGATAAAAGTAACTGCTGTGAGTAATGTATTTTTGGTGGTAGAACCACATGTACCATGCGACTCACTTAGATTTACTCTGGTGGTTGCTGTTCTAAAATTAATTGAAATTAATTTATTTTTATTTTTTTTCCATGCTAAGGTTAAATGTTAGAAATTCTAGGAATGCCAACCTGTGAATACAAACTTCTGCTGATGAGGAAAGAAGTATCCAGGATTTTCTTTTAATGTTTTGCTGACATATGGTGCTTCTAACCCAGTGAAAAATTAATTGACTAAATGTAAAAGAGATGGACAGTGCTTAGCAAGGAAGGACAGGATATGCATTATAAGACATCTGGTTGGATTAGGGAGACAATATGCATTGGACAGCTAACGAGTCTCTGTTGCATAAGATAGATTCTCCTTATAATAGAATTGCACACTTTGTCTCTAAATGAGATTATTATACACACCATTGCACAATGTTTGAAGAGCTTATTTGGCCATTGTAGAGGGTTAGGAGAGAAAAAAATTGGAAAACAATTGTACATAAGACCTTCAATCCATCTACTGCTCCATATTTATCCAAATTACCATTACACTCTTCCAAAATACAAATCTATGATACATTCAGGGGTGAAATGTTAATACTGACCAGTCAGATTTTGACAAGATGTATTTTTCTTTTGCTGTTGTTTTTACCTTGCAGTAAAATCTTACTTCCTCAGAAAGAAAAGCTGATAGTGGAAACCACTTGTTGTGGCATAACAACTGTCTACTCAGAATGAATCATGAATTTAATTTTTGCCACTATGCAAATTTCAGTCCGAGTCTCAGGGGCTTTGATTTTTCCAGAGATAAAGTATGCACAGCTTCATTTATAAGAAACTCTTCCTCAGTAATGTTCAGAGTTTAAGGACAATGCTTGTGAAAGTAATGTATGATTTCAAGTGATTCTGGTTTTGGGTCCCAGCTTGTGGCCATTGTAGTGCATGGTTCTCAGAAAATGATGAGGTTTAAAAACTCCAGACTCCTTATGCTCTTGAAGACTGGGCACCTAAAATTTTACATCTTCAAAATTGCAAGCCACTTCTGAAAATCCTGGCTCAACTATTGAGCAGGAGCAAATGTTGCAGTTCTAGATGACGTGGAGGTACCATTTCCCACGTCAACGGAAGAATTCTGCAGTAAGAGTTGTAGATGGAGCTTAAAAAAAGACAACTAAAAGGGTTTTTGCCAAATCCAGTGTAAATAATTGCCTATCCTACCTCCTTCTTGGCATTTTTGTCTTCCTTGGTTAAATCTTTTGTCTGCTAGTCTCCTTTTTAATTTTAGCTCTCCAGGTACCAGAAGAGGATGTGATCTTACTAAATAATGTTAAATAATATTGATCTTAGTTTGACAGGGTAGATACTAAAACTATTGCAATGTGCAAATCTATGAAGGTGGCTTTGTTCACAGCTTTATTCCTCAGAGTGAAAATAAGTACATCCTCAAAACACAACTGAAAGCTGCATTTCAGTACAGAGAGCTGTAAGTGGGTCCATGGTGTGGTTTCTGTTCAGGCATGACTATATCCAATTCCCACAAGTATTACTGTTCCAACATAAAGGAAGAGGAGACACATGATGAAATAAAATTACTTGGTGTATTTGTGCTAGTCATAGTTGTTGCTGTTTATACTTTCTTTCCCTTTCCCAGAGCCCCTGCGGTTAAACTGAAAGGTTACCTAAATACATATGTGTGTGTGTGTTTGTGTGTGTGTGCATGTGTACATGTGCCTTGCAGGATTTTCTTTGGAAGAAGTTATTCTTTTGTACAGTCCTTCTGTGACATTTCTATAGTCTGCTCACATCCTGTTGGGTGAAGCTACGATGCTTAATGTAAGGCAGTGTGGCTCATAGGAAGAAAGATTGCAATAAGCACAGTTGCTAGTAATTAATTTCCCAGCCCTGGGTACTCTTCCGGTGACTGTTGTAGGTTCTCTGTGGTGGAATGTGCTCACTGATGACGGTGTTTAAGAGTATTTCATTCGTGGTTCAAAATAGCTGGATGTTTCTCTTAATGAGCTCTCCCATCGCTATCACAACAACTTTAAATACCTTATGGCTAGTGAGGAAAGGCTGACACACAGGCAGATTTGTTTCTCCACGTATCTTCCTGTTTGCATTCCAATTTCCAGTGAGATTGATTTCATCACAGGCTGTGCTGCTGCCTTAGTAGTTTTATAAGAGCTCTTCCTCTTGTCTTTTTGTTAGGAGAAGGAGAAACTGTATGTGGAGCTGAGGCAAGTCCTGGCCCGGCAGCCTGGGCCTGAAGCCACGGAACAGTTGCAGCACTACCGGCACAGTCTCCAGGAGAAGACTAGACAGCTCAAAGTAAGAGATGCCCTCTGCCTCTGGCTGAGGGGCTGCCAGCACTGCAGGGTGACTGCACTGGGGGAATGAGACTTCAGGAAGATTTTCAATGAACAGTGTGCTTGCCCTGGTAAATTAGATCAGGAAAAATAAGGTTAATACTGCACCTCCTCAAGGGAGAACCACTATCAGCAAGAGAACTTTTTTACACATTATGCTAGCTTGTTTCATTAAAATACTGGAAAAGTCTTATTAGGATACGAGTGTGCCGCACAATGCTGTAAATTAGTTTTGTGCATGGGCATTCTGGGACACTGCCAGCTTTTCATTAAGCTTATTCTCCTTCACTTTTCTTAAAATGTTAAAATCTGTAAGAAGCAAATCAAAGCCATTTAGTTTTCTTTTTAACAAAGTAGTGGGAATATATAACCTAGTCTAATATACACATATATTAGATGTGCAGATTTTATGGGGATGACAGGAGGAACCTGTTCTAACCCCTTGTCAGTAGAAGGGAGGATTTCCTGGTTCCGAAAGAATTTTGTAGGAAACTTAAAAAGCATGGTCTTAAAAAGTGATTCTTTGACAGAATTCTGTGATATTCTATGAATAAGCTGATCTTCCCTTGTTCTTGCCTGCATGAGAGATCAGTCTCCCCAGGAGTTCATCTACTTACATGGCTCCTCTCTCCGTTGAAGTCATCATCTCATGTTCACTGCATCATAATCACGTCTATACTAACCATGAGGAAAAAAAATGCAGGAGCAGATGGGCCCTTAGGAAACAAAAGAGGCTGTTATGAAAATCTTAGCTTTCCATGGAGAAGAAAAACAATGTAGAAAATGTAAAATAGAAACCAAAGTTTAGCTGAACTGAATGTGATTTGAAGTTTTCTATATGGGCCTTATTTGTCCTTAATGCAGTCAACTGCTACTGTGTATTTCAGGTACAGTATGCTGTAACGTGCTGGTGTGCATGACATTTTGGGGTGCCAGGTCAAGCTATTCTCCTTTTGAAAGAAAGAAAACACACTATGCATGCCCCTCTTTTCAAAAATTTAACTGATTTGCGTGGAAGCGGGATTGTATTAATATTTACACTGCCTGGCACTACCTTGCCTGTGTGGATTGAATTACTCCACTTAACAGTGGGTCCCTGTGAATAAACCCCATTATTGTCAAATAATTCCCTGATTTATTGTTTTTTAAGACCTTCATTTTGTGTTTTCACCCAGATTTATGTCTCAGAAACTAAGGGCTAGCATATATATTATTACCATTCCCAAACCTGAAGCATATTTTACATGTTGTATCATGGCTAAATGGCATAACCTCAGTTTTGTAAGCTGTCCTTAGGTGAACAGAGGACAACAGAAATGAAACATAATAATGGAAAAAGAATTGTGGTAGAAAATGGTGATGTGTTACATCATCATATGTGAAAGGAGCAAGTGTTTGTAAAAATATTCACTTATGAGTAAGTGAAACTAACATCTCCTGTTTCTGCTGTTTGTCTTTTGTTTGTTAGGTTTTGTCCTCAGAACTGAATATGTATGAAGCACAGAGCAAAGAATACAAACGTGAAATAGAAAGACTTAACAATGAGCTTAACAATGTGAAAAAGAAATATCTGGCTCAGAAACGCAAGGAGCAACAGAAAAAGTATGGGAAAATAATAATTTTGTCTACACAACTTTCTGCATAAGCTAGATTTTTGTTTTTTAGACCGTGCTTTACCCTTTTGATCAGAATGTGGTCAAATTTGACTGAGGTGATATAGTATTGTTGCCTAATTTTCCTGAATGCTATCCTTCATGTTACTTGAGTCTGGTGTACATTTACCATGATCTATGGCCAGGACAAGAACATCCAGCAGAGATGTTGCTGAACATGTTCTGCAGTCCAGTTGAATTATTCATACTGATGAGATGATACCCAGAGGACACAAATTAATGTCTGGTCTCTCACATCGAAGCATAGAATTATAGAATAGTTTGGGTTGGAAGAGACATTTAAAGGCCATGTAGTCCAAGCCCCCTGCAATTAATAGGGACATCTTCAGCCGGATGAGGTTGCTCAGAGCCCCATCCAACCTGACCTTGAATGTTTCCAGGCATGGGGCATCCACCACCTCTCTGGGCAACATGTTCCAACATTGCACTACCCTCACAAAGGAAAATTTTCTCCTTATAGCTAGTCTAAATCTACCTTCCCTTAGGTTAAAAGCATTACCCCCTGTCCTCCTGCAATGGGCTTTCTGGGCTGCAGGCACACATTGCCAGCTCATGTCCAGCTTTTCATCCACCAGCACCCCCAAGTCCTTCTTGGCAGGGCTGCTCTCAACTTTTTCATCCCCCAGCCTGGGTTGATATGAAGGTTTGCCCTGACTCAGATGCAGCACCTTGCACTTGGCCATGATATGAGATTCCCATGGGCTCACTTCTTGAGCTCGTTCAGGTCCCTCTGGATGGCATTCCATCCCTCAGGTGAGTCAACTGCACCACTCAGCTTTGTGTCACCTAAAAACTTGATGAGGGTGCTGAGGGTGGACTTCACTTTTAAAGAGAAATTTCATAGATTTCTGCAGTCAGATGATGTGATCTGTTACCAAGTTTTTCTGTATACACAGAAAGGCTTTTGTCTTTCCACCCATTTCCATCCTCAGCCTGTGCCTTCCTCACACAGTAAAGCCAACAGTTCTCTGTGTGTCTGAATATAATTCAAAGTTGCCCGTATCTTTTTTTTCCTTAATCCTATTTCAGCCAGCAAATGAATTTGATGACTAAATTAGCAAAATAATCAGTGATAAACAGTGACTTTTGTCCATCTGCAAATTGCATAATGTTACGTTAATGTTTGGATTTAGCAACAATTGTGCCGTGCTAATGGCCTTCCTGGAGCTTTAGGATCAATATGTGAGGCTACCATAATGCCTGATAATCCATTTCCAGCAGCTAAGTGTCCTCTTCACAGTAGTTTCCATTTTGGACCCTGGCATCACGTCTCTTTATGTTCATCAGATGAGGAGAAATTCACCCATGTTTTGTTGTTACATTTCATCTAGAACTAATTCCTGCCATAAAAACTCCACTTGTTAGGGACACAACTGCTTTAAATTAAAAAAAAAAAACATATTATGTGGGCTGATGATGACTCAACAGGGGCATGTTAATCATATACAGTGGATGGAATTTCATGTTGCAGGTCAGTTAGTGCTGGATAGGTTCAGGGTAGATATCTGCCATTAGCACAGCTTGTCAAGTTGTTCTTGTGAGCAAATGTGTCTGTAGTCCCATGCGTATGGTGTCTTTGTGACATCTGCCTTTTGGAAGTACATTCAGATGCTGTTGGTGGTGCTTCTGGAGGATGGTATCATCTTATTGCCCCCACCACAGCTTAGAAGGCACCAGCACTGGCCTGCCAGCCCTGCCTTGCACTTCTCTTGTCTTGTGGCTGCTGAGAGGTGTCTAGATTCTGGACTTTGCTCTCCTCTGTCCCTCACTGTTTTGTTCCCTAGTTAAACCTGGTGGACTACATCCTGCTTTGAAGGACACAAAGGCATAACTGGGAGTATCAGTCCTGGATAATTGCAACTTCTGCAATCTTTAGGCTGTGCGTTGCCTTGGCCACCAGCAGTGCAGAGAAAACGAGCCCTGTACAGCCTTTCTTCTCCAACCTTGCCAGTTGTGCAAGACACATCGTTTGCTTTCTGAGAGAGAGCCTGTTGTGCAGTCAGGTCCTTCCCCAGGGAGTCCTTCTCCCTGACATACAGCCATCCCACAGCTCAGGCAGGGCTGGACAGGCAGTGCCTGGTGTGTGGATGCCAAAGAGCCAGAGCCATTGGATTTGTACAGTCTCAGATTGCTCTAAATCCCAGCTGACACAAAACCACTGACTTGATCTCTATCTTGTTGGCTAATGTTAACATCATGTCTGAAATAAATGTAGCTGGTTTTGCTAATAGAAAGAGGATCCTGTCAGGACAATAGCATTAACAGCATTATTGACTACCCTGCTATGAAAGAGAATTAATACTCTCAGATAACCTCACAAAAAGTTATCATCTAAAGCTTTTATTGATTTGCACAAGGTAGCTTTGATTTGTGATTTAAAGTCTTGGTACTGAACAAATGCAGCTTTCTGTGTGATGCTGAAGGAATATGAGTGACAGCAGGAATGTAGCTTTGTGTTCATAATGAAAATTCAATGTTTAGGATTTTAGTCGTGAATTTGAAATCCTCTTTTTCTGCTCTCTGATTCTGAATGTTGTCTTACCCAGTTGTCTTAGCCTTCCTTCTTCTATCTCCTCCTATTCTTTCCTTCTGCTTTTTGCACCCCTTCAGCATCACTACTTTTCCTAGTTGCTTCAAGTACCAGGATTCCATTTTGATCTTGATAAGGATCAATGAGAAAATATGAAGCTTAAATCCACACAGAGACGTGATCCAGCAGTCCTGTATATGTAAATAACTGCACTGAGGGATGTCAGTAGTAACTGGGAGCTTTTGCACGTGACTGCTTGCACATTAATTCTGCATAATATATTACAGTATTCAGTTGCATAGAATTTTCCATACTGATGAGCATGTCTGTTGGTTGTCTCCATGGGAGCGTGAAGAAAGAATGAGCATGGATTCTGGATCATTTTCTCTCCCCAAACTTGGAAGCCCAATAGTGAGATAGGATGAGCCATCTAAATACAGCACGTTAGTTTTTAGTGCTGTCAGCTGGCATATCCATTGATACATTGATACAATTAAAACCAGTTATAAATGGTTTTCATGGTTACATTCTTCTATGCCATCTTTTGGCTATTCTCCCACCTCTATATGGGTTGAATTTGGAAAAGGATGCATAACTAATCCTACAGGGTTTCTCTGAACTTTCTCCTCTTCTGACAGTTATTTAGGGACAAAGACAAAAGTATTAATTCCAAGAAGTGTTTTCTTTTTCCTTACTGAGGACTGAAAAAAGGTACTAACAGTGTGGTTGCACTCACATTTGTGTCTCAATCTCAGTGACTGTGAAATAAAAGTAATGGCACTGACCTTCTTTGTAAAGCTTTGATACCTCTGCTGTTATGATAAACTACTACTTCATAAAGCTCCACTTGATTAATCTTAAATATCTTGAGACCTCTCTCTGAAGCATCCAGGTATATCACAGAGAGTTTGAAACACTGCCCTTCATATTTGTAGTGCTGTGATTACCTCCCCAAGCACATAAGAGTGGAACCAGCTAACTCTTGTTCCCTCCTCTTAAGGCCATCAAATTCAAGACCTCCTGGATCCTCCTGGACGGAGCAACTTCCTGGGGCTATCAGTGCACCTAGAGCATACTGTTAGTTTTCTGCAAATGTCACAGACAGGGTAGTTATCACTGGAACTTTGTTAAAATGTGAAGTCAGATAACACTATATAGTCATTAAAATGCAACAAAGAAAAAATACCTCCCTATTGCATCTTTTGTGAAAGTAGCTATTTGTTTGAAAACAGGTGTATTCTTGCTAGGATGGGATGGTGATTAGAAATCTGAGGTCATGGAGCTCACATACAAGCTTGCTCTAATGAGGTGTTCTGACCATTTTGGGGAGTAGCACAAAGAAAGTTCATTTATTTCTAGTGTTTAATAATTCTAAAACCCATCAGCAGGCTTGTAATTAGATCCAAACAGACACCTAGTCTTGGTGGTTTAGCCTAACAGGCTTTAATCAACATTTTTTTAATGATCTCTTGAGATGTGGTTGCATCAAAGAAACTCTGGAGGACACAGATTTCCTTAGTTTCTAAACATCTATGGGCTGCAGAATGAAATATGTATTTTCTGTTTCTTTGTTTCTGTTTAAAGGGAGAAGGAGAGATCTTGCCCAGATACGAAGAGGAAATTACCCCCCCTCAGGCCTGATGATGAACCTCACTTCAACATAGGGGGCTTTCCTTTAACCAGACCCCTTCCCAAAATTGCAGCCTAAGAATCTACTCATCTAGTCACATTCCTGTTCCCAGTTTCTTGCTAAACCTTATTTGTGGGTTATTCGAGAAACTGTAATTTTAAAAGAGATTCAGAATCTACTGAAATCACTGTATCACCTTCAGGAAAATTTTATAAATTGTATATCATAAAATGCATTTGCACATTGGAATTATATTTTATATTGCATTTATATTTTGTAGTGCATATTATATTGCAATTAACATAGTTTTCTTTACAAACCATGGACCAAAGCTGCCCATTTGATGCCAGTAGAAGCCTGCAGTGATGTAAGTGAATAGTAGAGATATTTCTTTTTCAATATTATGCTTCTGTTTAGCACTGTAACACTACCAAATGCCTTAATATATAGTTATTTCTCTTTTATCTACCTCTGTTGTAAGCACTCATTCCATTTATCTTCTGACTCAAAGCACCTGAAAAAAAAAAGAAAACAGAAAAGAAGAAAAAATAATAGGCTGCTGTTTCAAGCCCTGCTGAGCAAATGCAAAATTAACAAGTCTTTACTTAGATGTACACATGTAGCAGTTCTTTGTGTAGGTAGTATATAATAGGGTTTAGGCAGTGTTTGCTGCAGTTGTTAGTAAGATCAAGGAAGTTTGTGGCCACAATGTACATTATTACGAGCACAAGTGTGTTTACTCTGGTAGATACAAAGTGACATAATTATGTCTCTTCAACTGGCGAGACTGTGCACACTGAGTGGGACATGCTGTTCTCCACTTAAATCCTTCCAAGCGATTCAAACTTGGACTCAAAACATGGCAAACTTTATGCTTTAATTTCTAGACACTCAGGCATTTTTGTAACTTTCAGAAATTGTTTTTGTAATACAGCAGGAGCACTCCAACCTTTTCAGCCAAAAGAGATTTAATTACCATTCATTAACAAGTGAAATAACAAAGTCACGGCGTGAGGTGCTGAAGTATAGAAAACTTTCAAGCTGTAAAATAAAATGTTTTGAAACTGATTTGTATGAGAAAGTTTTTTTTCCCCCTGCCTGGGGGATAAAAATACTTGTCCAAAGAGATATACTGATAAATATTTCACATGCACAAAAAAAACCCAAACCAAAACCAAAAAAATCAAAACAAAACCAAACCAAAAAACCCCTTTGCAAAGATTTTGTTCTTTCCTTTGGTGGAATACATAATTAAATATTAAAGCTACTGTGGGAAACTTTAATGGAAGTGTTTAATTCAAAGGAATCAAGTTAAATATGACAGGGATCTACTTTGCTTTTACATTGAGGACTGGAACACTTAGTCATCAGATCCATTGTATTTTTCTTTTGTTCCCAAAATAGCTTTTATTGCTGTTTCACTGTCAAATGCATTATGCTAAAGTTATCATTTTAGGACAGTCATGCTGTCTGAATCCTCTTCTGTGTACCTGACACGTCCTTATAGTTAGAATAACTGACAATAACTGACATGGGCACTTGAGTCTGGTGGAATCCCAAGTAGGTTTTACTGAAGCTTTTAGAAGCTGATATTTGTTAAGGACCCGAGTATCCAACCTGGAGCTGGAGTCTGCTATGCTAACTGACACTGGAGAGTAATTTGTATTGAAATCAGTCATCAAAGCCACGTTTATTAATTCACATGAATGAGAGAGGCACAGGTAGACTCCCAGAATACCATCACTCTGTAGAAAGGCAACTTACATATTACACTTTAAACTGTACAGTGTAGCCCTTAACTTATCCAGAGGTAATCCAAGTCTGTGTACATCTTTCACAGAATCACAGGGTAATTTAGGTTGGAAAAGACCTCCAAGATCATTGAGTCCCACCTTTGACTAAACACCACCATGTCAACTAGACCAGGCAGTTGTCCAGTGCCATGTCCAGTCATTTCTTGAACAGTTCCAGAGACGGTGACTCCACCACTTCCTGGGCAGCCCATTCCAATGCTGACAACCCTTTCGGTGAAGAAATTCTTTCTGATGTCCAACCTGAACCTCCCCTAGCACAGCTTGAGGCCCTTTCCTCTTGTCCTGTCACTGATTGCCTGGGAGAGGAGGGTCATCCCCATGTTGCTACAATCTCCTTTCAGGTAGTTGTAGAGGGTGATGAGGTCCCCCTGCATCTCATTTTCTCCAGGATAAACACCCCCAACTCCCTCAGCACTCCTCATATGATTTACTCTCTAGGCCCTTCCCCAGCTCCGTTGCCCTTCTCTGGACTCACTCCAGTGCCTCAATGTCCTTGTAGTGAAGGCCCCAGAACTGGACACAGCACTTGAGGTGTGGCCTCACCAGCATGGCCTCACCAGTGGCCTCACTTTCTCTCTCTTTGTTATCAGGGTTTAGGAGACAAGTTATTACAGTGATCAGAGGCAAGGAGGGGAAGCCAAGCAGATGGAATCTGTTCCCTACTTGCATATATTTTTATGAGTATGCTAAAAAAACAGATTCTTTTCCATCTTTATCTGTACTTAATAGTAGCTTGCATTGCACGAGTAAGAAACTCCATCTGTAATGATTCCTGACCTTAGTTTTTTCAGTCTCTAAAATGTGTGGCATAGTATTTGTCTAAAGACTTGCAAAGGTGAATTCACTTATATTGAAAAAGTGATTAGTCTTCTAGACTGAATAAAAATGCAGGGGAGTGCAAAAAATTGTGATTTTCTCATACGACATGTTCTTCTAGACTAAAGAGCTGGGAAGGGAATACAGTAAATTCCACCTACAAAGTACAGAAGCTTTTACTTATTCATCCACAATTTCAGGCATCAAGATGTGAATGTGTTGGCAACTATTTCCAATTTTATTGCATTATTTACTTACTACCAGGGAAACTAAATTCACAGGTTAAATTTGAAAAGAAGACAAAAAAAAAGAAAAGGCAAGAAAATACAGTCATCAAATTATTGCCAGTAACTTCCAGCATAATCAGGAATAGAATAACTGCAGCCAGCTTAATTTATAGTGCTAGAGAGTGAAAACCATTTCTGAGTTCATATAATAGAACGGATTAAAGCACACCAAATCCCTTCCCCCTTGGTCTATAAAAGTCAGGGAGCTTGAAAAATTGCTCTGGATGTCTGTGAACCCAGCTGATGCTGGGGTGCTTTTAGTGTTCAAGGATTTGGCTTGCGCAGCAGGGAAAGGCAGAGCGGTAATGAGAATATCATTTGTTCAGTGGCTTCTGCATTGTGAGCAGCAGCTCTGAAGTGCTTCTCCAGGTTTTGTTGCAGAAAAATGTTAATTGAATTCCAGTTTGTGCAAGATGTAAGCCTAGAAGTAGCAAGTATATTTTTAACTTCTTATTCCTGTAAAGATAAGTGAAAAGATGGAGGTGAAGGGCTATGATCCATGGCACTTAAGTTAGGGGAAATCTTTCTTCGCTTTAATTGCTTTGGACTGGAGCTTGCACAGTAAATCCATCCTGGAGTCTTTCAGTGACAAAAGTATGTGATATTTTTCATTTTCAGAGCTCTTGCAATATGTAGATAATATTTTAAATAATTTCACATCTAACTTGAGCTCTGATCTCGTCTGGCAGGTCTGTATTCAGTGTATTACACAAGCAGGACACAAACAAGACGCTGTACACTGAGATATGAAGTTGAAATGTAGAAGCATGGCCCTTCTGTGATCACCTGCCAGCTACTAAAGACACAGCACAAGAATCCAGTCCTTAATTTATACTCACTTTGTGAATTCTGAACAGCAGGAACACATACCACACACCCACTAACATGTCCTGCTGCTGTGAATGTGGGAACCCTTTGAGTCAACTGCAGTGAAAAACAGGACACGACTCAGGCCTTTTTGTGCTGAGATCTACAGACCCCAGGACTGGGGAGGCAGAGAGAAAGGCTGGGAACTTGGCACACACAGACATTTCCCAGTACCACAGAGCACAGGCTTTATTGTGAGGGGAACAGCAGGTGCTGGGCCCTGGGGCACTAATGGACCTTAAGGGCCCTGATCAGCTCCCTGCTGGGTGCCATTTAACAAGCTTGGCCCTGCAGCTGAGTTTCTGGTGGTCTCCTGTCCTTTAGGGAGCAGTTGGCTCTTGCTGCACCCTGACAGCAAGACTTAGGAGCAACTTTAGTTCTCTAAGTACTGTCAAAGAGCAAGCGGTCACAGGATGGAGAGGGATGGATTGCACAGGAGAACAGTGAGTTGGTGTTGAAAGCCCAGGTGAAGAAGAGGAATGGTTTTCCTTCCAGCCCTTGTGGACAAAGAACAAGGGCTTTGTCGGAGGTGTACAGAGGTGTACAGAGGTGTCCAGCAGCATGGCCCGGAGCACTGCCTGCAGGAGGGTTGCCAGTAATTGCACAAGTTCACAATGCCAGGTCTGGGGCAGCTATTTTATATCCTTATGTTAGGGTGAAACTGTTGTGTCCTAAAGAAGTTACAAGTTAGAGCAGAGAGAAACAGACCTTTGCCTTGTTCTCTGTCACCCATGCGAGATTAACAGAAAACAAAATTAGCACGGGTGTCAGAAAGAGAAGTTGAGCAGCAAAACCAGTGCTTGCCATCTCTGAAATGTTAATGACTCTTCCTGAAAATTGATCCATCCCAAATCTCTTTACCCACATTAGAGTATCTAAATCATGCATATTTGTATTTCGACACTTTAGCAATTGAGTATTATTTTCCTAGCAGGTGGTTTAGCTGTTGTGCCATCTCTTCTAGCCTAGTGTATTTTTAGTGTGTTTCCAAAAGCAGGCACTTGATTTTGTTGCTCTTTCTGTTCCTTACTTGAGTGCTTTGTAAGCAGCCCCACACAGATCAGCTACTTGTGCTGTTCAGCGCACAGAAAGATGTCAGGATCTCATCTCTCGGGCTTGCTTGAGGAGCTCAGTTTTCCAAAGGGGAGGTGAAACTGTGCCTGTAGCACCTGTGGGTGTGAGTGGGCAGGGCAGGACCTGTAGGATAAACTGCATGTGGCTGAGGTCAAAGCAGCTGCCTGCTCCTCTGCTAAGCCTTAACTTTAGTTTGCTTTCTCCTCAAATTGGAGCAACTATGTAGGTTTATGGAACCCATATACTTTTTAGTATATCCCTCTACTGACCTCAGTGGGTTTATAGACCTCATCACAGGTGTATAGAGCCACTCAGACAAGCAGGAATGACTGAACTGTTATTAGCACCAGGTTCAAACCAACTGAGCTAATTTCAGGTTCATGATGCAGCTTGGGGGTGGGTGTCCCCACTGGGTGCCAATTGGGTAGTGATTATAAGCAGGATGCCCAGGAGGGGTAGATGCTTTGATTTTTAGGGTAATGAGAGTATAATTGAAGGGGAGGAATCAAGTTCTGAACTCTGCAGACTGCTCTAAAACGAAGGTGAAGGTAAGCTTTGCTCTTGTGTTCTACCTTGGCTAGAAGCAGCATTTTCCTCAGGCTGTAGTATCTAACCACGGGGCTGTGATGCACACTATTAGTGTTGGCCTTCTGCAGGCTGGCTGCTCTTGGCCAAGGCTTTGACAGTAGGGGGGCGTTTCCACAGAGAGGCTTTTGACTTGGTTTTCAGGAAGAGCTGATATTCTTGGTGCCTTTGTGAGTTCAATAGCCCTTGCTTTAATTGCTGCTGGGGCTCCAAGCTGTTTCTCTTCTGCCTTACTGGCTTTTGCAGTGCTCCTTTCCCCTCTGAGAGGACAACCATAGACCTAAATCTCTAAGTTATGGGCAAATTGTGGAACTGTTTCTTAATCAGGGTGTATCTGTGAATTTTCTGTTTGGGATCCCTCTTATCTTATAGTGTGTGTTCAAGGAGACTTCATGGTTTTCAAGGAGGTACTGCATCCTCCAGGGACAATGAAGTGCTGGCCAGAGCTTTCTCCTAACAGTGAATTTCCTGGTTGCACATCCTATGCTGGCTTTAAGGGCAGTCTTACTCCCTTTTTTGAGTCCCAGACCAGCCATTTTCTTTATTTTTGCTAGTTTTATTGTTG